ACACTGTAGTTTCGACCACAGACTGGCAGAAAAGCTCGTAGCCGTGTGGCTTTGATGTATAATTAGAAAATGACGCGTGTGTGATGAGCAAAGATCGCATAAAATTTGACTACCACAGGTGTGTACTAAACGAACTGAAAAAAACCGTTAAATGTATTTGCGTAATATTCTGAGTTTCCGTTTTGGAAAAACATAGCGGTATTGTCTTCAATATTTGACGACCACTGTATAATATGACCAATTTCGCAAATACGCATTAAGGCCTCATTGAGACACAGTTTCTGTCATGTAGTCGACATTGGGATTCGTAAATTGAATAAATAAGCAAAAACCGGTTAGTGCCAGTTTCGTAGGACATTTAGATATCAGTTGGACCAAATTACTAGGACCTACCACCACGGCTTTCATTATCAACATCCTTCACATTGGAATAAATGGGTGTTCAAAGCATCGGAAAATCGGTGACGGCCGAGTATTTAGCTCAACTGAGAAAATGGGAGGCAAGGATTCCTTTTATAGGGGGCGGTGATAATAGGGGTTTTATGGTAGGGTAAACGAAACTGACAAAAAGCTGTTTTCGGGACCCAAAAGAAAAAAATTACACTTTCGCAATTAGCTTGCTTAAATGCCGCAACAAAGCGTGTAAACGCGGGCACAGAGACTAAGAGCTGTAAGCGGGCGGAGAAAATGTGAACCGAGGGAACTGGTTAGATAATCTGAACGATCTGATCCCCGCCAGTGATGGCCGGTCGCATTTCAGGCGAAAGTGCGAAGAATAAACTCTCACAATGGCCGCGGCATATGAGATATTTGATGTTGACCTTGATAGCCTAATCTGCAACCGCTAACCCTAAACCTTTGTCTAAAGCCAAACCCTAAATACAAACCCCAGCCCAGATCCTAACCCTGGTCCTCACCCTAACTTCTAGCCCAACCTCCCTAACCTGGGTCTTAAAACAAAAAACACATCCAACTTATTATTATTTTTAAGCAAATCGATTGTCCGCGCTAACTAAAGTGCTATTAGTATGCCGTCACCATCGCCGCCGCCGCCGCCGCCGCCGCCGCCGCCGCCATCATCATCATCATCATCATCATCATCATCATCATCATCATCATCATCATCATCATCATCATCATCATCATCATCATCATCATCATCAGCAGCAGCAGCAGCAGCAGCAGCAGCAGCAACAGCAGCAGCAGCAGCAGCATCATCATCATCATCGTCGTCGTTGTCGTCGTCGTCATCATCATCATCATCGGGATTATAAGCACAGTAAACCCTTGCTTTTAGTTACAAGGTCACAAGCTACAGTACTCAGTTCTTATTCCGAAACTGCTTTAGGAAACAGTATTCTTCTACCGATGAAGATCTGGCGCAAACCTCCTTCTCTTAAAAACATTTTAGAAAGTGAATTCTAAAGGCGTAAGGGAACTCAAGCCGCCTAGTCTGGGGAGGCCCCTTCCACCCCCTGTTCCGAAGTCTGGCGAAGTCTCCCAACAACCGATCTCTGTCGATGACGAACCGTCGAAGCAGTGTACCTACCTCCTGAAGAACCTTAGGTCACTGACTGTGTTGCCAGTGAATATGATGACACATAATCAGCAGTTCGCCTTCCACACACCAGAGCATCGGGAAATTATTGACATAACCCCGAAGGAAGTGATAGCCAGACCATCGGTTTTCGGAGGTCCCGGAGATGCCAACCGGAATTGCTGGAAACCCACTGCTGCCTATCTTGATTTCAAACAGAACGATCAGTCCTCGTCGTTTGCAAGAAATCCGACGACATGTGGTTGCTCACTTTTCACTTGCGGTCGCTTATCGAGTAACCGGTCATTCGGAGAGGCAGAAGATGAAGCCGTGCTTCCAGTTGTTCTTGAGCTGGACTTACGGCATCCGATCCTTGACACAATACACTGAGACGTATTTCAAATAGGTACAAGTCTTACATTTGCTGACCTGGAGGAACGCGGACTTCATGTATTGAAGATCTTATTTTACGTGCTTTGATTAGGAATGTTTTTGATTTTACTGTTTACAGTGTGCTCCGCATAATACTACCCCATAAATACACAAGTGAGTTAAGGCAAATATTCGTGTTTCTGACTTTAATTATGGAGAATGAGTGAACATCCAAAAGGCTTTGCCTCTAGGTGGCTAAATCGCACTAATGCCTCAGTCGTCAGGGATAATTTGATCTTCGAACTCCGTATTAGTCAAGGTCATTGTTTCAGTCACTAAAGTTACCTTCCAGCGTGCTCAGTAGTCTAGGCCGGACCGCAGCACTCTTGTTGGGAAGAGAGGGCTTGGTAAACAGGAAAGGTGGGGGAGGGGAAAGTTGCGAAGCGAGCATCTCTGGCTGGACGCTGGCGAAATTCTGGATGTGTTAAGTGCTTTACCTCCTTCAGAAGCAAAATGGACAATCACATACGCGATCGACATGCTTGTTGTTGATAAGTCTAAGGCCCTTCATAAAACGACTCTGGTTTTAGCTTAAAAGCGACCATAAACAGGGAGAACCGAGGTAGTTTATGCATAGGATGTTTGGCTGACTATAACGCTCTTTGTTTCAGTCAACACAGAAGACCTGTACTGAAATCCACAGACCCATCATGTTCTTTCGCAATCAGAAGTAGGGAAATAGCCTAGGCAGGAAACAAAGATTAACTTAAAAGCAAAGTGAGGGCAGCCAATAAAATTGCTCGCAAAAAAGGGAAGACGGACAACCATCATCGAAGGGTTGAAGGAAATTTTAAGTTTCAAGATAGTGCTATTTCCAAATTTGTAGAAGAGGCACCAACATGCTTTAAACATGCGGTACTGTCTGTCGGTGCCTTTAGCCTGCAGACATTGTGGAGAAGGAATAGCTTCTACTAGGCAAATAATGCGAAGAATCGATAAGCCATAGTGGTTTCCTCCTAATGACGCAACTACGAAGCCAAAATTCAGATAACGTCGTGTTTCAAACGCGTTCCCCGATTGAGCAAATTTTATATGCTATTTAGCGACTATCGGGTGTCTGGTTGCATCAAAGGCCTCAGTCGACATGTGGGAAAGCCTCCATAAATATTTACTACTTCCGACCCCCCTGACCAGAATTTTCACGATGCTGAAACGTGAGTCTCTTTACGAAAAGCATGCTGGTCGAGGAAGTCACCCAGAGACTCATTAGAGATCTCGTTCACGACTGCGAATTACGCTGTGGAGGCTGGTTGGCTAATTTTTCGCCCTCACTCACTTAGACCTCCTAGCAAGTAGGGGTAATTGGGATTTTCACCCAACCATTTTGAAACGATCTTAATCGAGGTTGTCCTCTGAAGGACCGCATATGCGGACGGCTATGACCCGCGGGAATTACTTTTGAGAGGTCCGATTGCATAGGTCTGTTTCTGGGTCCTAATCATCTTGAGGGTTGATGAGTACCTTTCAGGTTTAACCGGCCCGTTTTCGGTATTCTGTATTTAAAAGTTCGTTTTAGGGAAAATTGGGATGAACGAGTTGCGCGTCGATGACGGCAATTAACTCAGAAATGGACATTCCGCTCTCCTCAATCTTTGTTGGTAATATTTCAAAATTACAAACCCTCCACTAACAGTTTTGAAGAAGTGTTGCTCGCCTCCCCGACATGGTGACCAACAAAGCGACGTTCACATCAGCGGAGTGTGAAAAGTTGCGAATTTGTATTTGACAGCTGAGCAAGTGGTTGCCATGTTTGTCAGGTATTTTCAAATGGGCAAAGCAAACCAATAATTCTTGTTAGGTTTACTGAAGACCAAATAATCGACTGCCTGTACTATTGGCAATGTCACACCATGCTGAACTTTCTGATATAACTGGTCCTAAAGTAGCATTAAGAGGTATTTGGTAAGTTGTTGACCCCTTAGGACACTCTTAATTGTCTAGTGACCAGAATTGCTGTGTTTGCATCGGTTTTCTTGTTTGAAGTTTCGTATTGGTCTGCCCGGAGAAAAAGCGAGCATGTCTTCAGTTTGGTTCCCAGAAGTGCAGCTCAGAGAATTTCGGAATTAGATTTTTGTCACGTGAAGCTTTAAACAACAACCACAAATGACCCAAACCTGCAATTTGTCAGCTGACTGGTACCCGGAGCGTGGTATGCTAACCAACTCAGGCACCCACCGGTTGGTTATTTGGCGTCTACGAGTGGAAACCTTGTGCTTCGAGAATGGGCTCCATCTGGGACTGATAACTTTTATGTTACGACCAAATTCTTACCTTAGGGATCCAGTTCGTCTTCGCACCTTGCCTTTGGCTGTAATGGAAACACAGGTTTCGCAGAATAAATCTTGCCACAAACTTTTCCTGTGTTTCTAAATTGTGATTCATTCTAAACTCTACGAGGCACTGGGCAAATGCGTTCAGTGCTCCAAACTTTGTTTAACTGGAGTACTTTTCTGACTGCGAGAGCGTTTGTCCCCTTCTTGAAGCTGACTTGAAGCCTACAAAATCAAAGCACATTAAGCGAGCCAAAATAAGTCCGCAAAATGAAGATTTGTGGTTCACATCTTCAGAGCTGGCTTTGAACCAAACTATACTCAGTTGCTCTGGCAAAATGCGCTAAAGCGTTGTTTTCCTTGCGGAATCTTTGGCTGGTGTTTGGTGACTGAACGGTTATTTTGGTATGATGGCACTCATCGGATGCACATCAAAGGACCCTTTTCATGAATTTGGTGACGGCTAAGGGAAAAATGCTTTTGACAAGGCAAGCCCACAAATAACATCATGTTATTTTTATCCCAGAAAAGTGCTTGGGCAGTTTTGTGACTGCCGCAGCGGACTAAATATAACGAAAACAAATGCAAATGCCATTTGCTCAAATAAACTCATGCCTTTACAAACCTTATCTATGTCCGGTCGGCGGTAATAGCATGCTCACGTTCGTGGGGCGCATAATTGCAGACGACGTCCGCCACAGAAGAAGGTTTGTCCTGCACCGGCCTCCTCCAATTGCCTCTGCTCGGAAAAGCGAGTCTCAACGAGAGTCGTAATGCCTACCTTGCAGCGAACCAGTTCTCGGACGGATAGACCTGCCCTCCTCTCCAGTCGGTTGGCAATCAGATTGTTAAAAAGGCAAACGAAAATTTAAAGTTGCCAATTTATCGCCGTGGCAGACTGCTGGGGAGGCATGTGGCTGCGCTGGTTCCTGTTTCATGTGTCTTTTCAACGGTATATTTTGTATACATAAGCCAAGGTTAGGTTGTTGACAACTTGTTTTCTAGGTATTTTTATGGCACAATTTCTAGGCTACACCCCGCGAAGGGGTAGGCAGCGCATTTATAATTTAGACTGCTGAGCCATCCCAGACAGTTGCCGGATCTCGCCATGGGTCACGAATTTATGACACTGGGAAGACGATCTGAATCCTTATGCGCCGCCTGTAGAATGGCATGTTGTCCTCTCCGCGGGATATTTTGTGGGGTATAGGTGTGTCAAGTTAGGAGATACAAGTAGAAGTTGCAGATCGCTCCATGTGCCTCGTACATGTGACGCTGCTCCTCAAGAACTCTAACCGTCATCCAGCATTCATTTCTGACTCTTCGGAGCTGCACTCTGCTTAGAGGATTAATTTGACAACTATAAAGTGTGAAGATACACGCTGAATACACTCATGAGGTCTAGCCTGCCAGTCAGAAAGATTGCCAGATGGCGGTCTCAGTAATGAATACGGCCATATGAGCTACAGATAAGAGCTTGATATCAGGACGGGGCGAAATAGAAGTATCCAGCAAGTTCATCGATGCATTTTGTGGGGAACATCCGCGTGTGGGTTACAAGTACTTGCTGCATTGGTGGCCTGGATGCGGTTCCTTCCGGTACTTCTCTATGGATGACATCTGTCGGCAGTGTATCTG